GGGGGGGCAGTTTGCAGCCTGTCCTCGCCGCGCTTTAACGGCTGGGGGGCAGCGAGTGTACGGAGCGCGCGATCGAGACGAGCCTCGACGACCCGCGTCTGGTGGCCGGGTTAGGCTCCCGGGCCGCGAGGGCTCCCGCTTATCTTTGCCATCGTTTGGGTGAGGTGCCTGACCTTGTGCCCTGACGCTTGGAAAAACTGAAGGCCACAGGAAAAGAGGGCAACCGTCGGTGATCTTAAGGAGCCTGGCCTTGCAAGAACTCCAGCCGTCACGGGGCTCCAGTCCTGGAAAATGGTCCAAAGAGTCGGAAGTGACCGCTTGAGAATTCCTGCCCTGCCCTGCCCTGCCCTGCCCTGTCCTGCCCAGAGGGCGTCCAAAGCCCGGAGGAGTAGCAGATGACATCAACGAATTATTTCACCTATTGTGATCTGTTTGGCCACTCACCATCCTTTCTCTCTAGCCATTTTTTTTACAACTTGGCACCCTCTGGAATGGGTGGACAAGCCGCTTTCTGGGGTTCTGAATCCCTGTTTGGGGATGATGGGATGCGCAAGTAGAGACATCCAGAAAGCTCCAAGGTGGGGGAAGGTAGCGTAAGGGTACAAATAAAAGTCAAATTTATTTTCCAAGGGACCTCTTCATCATAATCACACTCTGCGAGGATTATGGTGTGTGGGTGTGTACCTTCGAGTCAGTGTTGACTTCTGGCGACTGCCTGGACAAGTCCCTGCAATTTTCTTGGCGAGGATTTATAGTATAGTAGTGGACTAGGAGCATTTATAGTAGTGACTAAAACAAGTTTTCTACCAGGCAGGGCTGGTGCAAATCAGCCTGGTTGCTTAAATGCTCATGTAAGTAACTCTAGTTACCCCTTTGAACTGAATAAATTTAGGAGCATCTACTTTTTCACACTGACACGTGGCACGTTGGCAGATTTTTTAAAAAAAATTTAGATTTTTTTATCCCCCGCCTTTATTATTTTTATAAATAACTCAAGGTGGCAAACATACCTAATACTCCTTCCTCCTCCTATTTTCCCCACAACAGCCACCCTCTGAGGTGAATTAAATGCCAGTCACTCATCCTTAATTTAATTCGTTAACCAAATTTTAATGAAGGTAATCAATTGAACCGATGTGATTGATTAAAATTTTAATTTGGTAACAAAACTAACAGATTTTGTGAATGAAATACATGAAACTTTTAAATATTGCTGTTCCTTAAGACAACTCTGTTAAAGTACATTCTTCCCATGCTTGCCAGGCAGAAAAGTATGTTGACATAAATTGTGTGCCCCTCCCAGGGGCTACATTTATGGCATCTCGCTAACAAGTTGAGGCAGTGTTGCTGCCTGTACACAGTTTAATGCAGGACAGTTTCAGGACAGTGGTTGATGGGTTCCCAGGCATACTTTCCTACCCAGTGTTTCTTAATAGTGAGAAAAGCCAACAGTCACTTTCCATTATGTGATACAGGGCAAGGTTGGGGGACTCAGATCCTCCCCCCTGCTCCCCACATATGCCCCACTTGCCAGAATTTTATTATTTGCCATATGACTACCAAGTTCCTAGAAGATCAACCATCTTAATAGCACATCTGCTCTGGGCAAGCTAGCTGTCCATTCTCTTTTGCAGGCCAGGCCAAAAGAGATGCAGGGACCCATGTCCAGCAATCAGGCAGGGAGAAGAAGACTCACAGGTCCAATAGGATGGGATCCCTTCCCCTGATCCCATCATCACCAGCTTCGTTGTTCAAGAGGGGTGTCCATGGGGGCACGGTGTTGCAAAAGAAGCCCTGCTGCTTTTGTATATGCGATCACACGGACCCCCGTGGACGCCCCTCCCACCAAGTTGGTACCTGCAAGTCTCCATGGAATGTTCTACCAAGTTTTACAAAATCTGCATCTCTTACGTTTTCCTCCAGGTGATGTCCATCTGATTCGGTCTTGGCATGGCACTGATCTGAGAGACGTAAAACATGTCTCGTAAAGCACATACTCCATTCTGCCGTGTACTGTATCCAGTTTTGTACACAGCTGCAAATATACATGAAATAAGACAACTTCAGTAGAAGCTAATCTGATAAAACAGTTTCTTGACTGCAGTCAAACCTCCGTTCTGTACAACAAATAACCTGGTGAGATTACAGGTAGTCCTCGACTTATGACCATTCATTCAGTGACTGTTTGAAGTTACAGCAGTGCTGAACGAAGGGACGTACAACCCGTGTCCAAAGTTATGGCCGTTGGAGCACCCCCGTGGTCACATGATCAAAATTTGGATGCTTGGCAACCCATCCACACCACAGGGGTGCTTCAACTCCCCCCACCCACCTATCTCTCCCATCTATGCCCTTTTGGCTCCCTGCCACCCTGCACTTCCTCGCCTCAGCTGACCTTCGCCATCTTGCTCCTGCTGCTGACGAGGTGTGCCCGGCCTGGCCGCTGGGCCGGGCTTTGTGCTGCGAAAAAAAAAAAACGGAAAGCAACCCCAGAGCCACAGCGCAAAGCCCAGCCCCAGCCCTGCCCAGGAGCATGGTGCAAAGGGGCTTTGTGGTGTGTCATGCCTTTGGGGCTGCTTTTTGCTCTCTTTTTCACAGCTCAAAGCCCAGCCCCAGCCCAGCAACTGAGCCAGGCATGCCTCAGCAGCAGCAGGAGCAAGAAGACGGCGAAGATCAGCTGGAGGGGCAGAGCACAGGGCGGCAGGCGTCTCGGAGTGCAGGGTGACAAGGGCAACTAGGACTGGGACTGGGCTGAGGTGGCTGTGGCTTCCCAGGGCATGGAAGCAGCCCCAGAGCCGCACAGTTCTGGGGCTGCTTGCATTCTGCAAGGCAGAGCGCAGTGTGGTCAGAAGGGCAGAGATGGGGGGAAATAGGCAGTTGGGAGGAGTTGGAGGCAGTCCCTTACCTTACTGAGGCTTGGGGCTGGGCGGGACCAAGCCCAGAATGTCTTGGATTGGGGTGGGTGCTCCTTTAACAGCCTGCGATTGTTAATGACAGCAACTGGGACTGCCAGGATTGCGGTTGCTAAGCGATGCAATCACGTGACATCTCGCTTTACGACCACATCATTTAGGGATGGAAATTCTGGTCCCAACTGTGGTCTTAAGTCGAGGACTGCCTGTAATTTTGAACAAACATGAATAGGAACCTGCTGTTAAGTTTTAAGTTGACCCACATTCGTTCATGTTTTAATTGTAGTGGATTGACAGCTAGGTTCCTCTGGACTGATGCTGTAAAACTGGAGTGACCCTGCCAGACATATATAGGTCATGCAACAATGACTATAGCTATTTGTAAAGAAGGGCAATGACAAAAACTGTCACAGGTGGTATATAGTACACACAACTGGCATAAGGTGCCTAAATGCACCCACAATTCCTAAAAGCTGGAGGAACTTAAGAAGGTTCAACATAGTCTTGAGACATTTATTGCGCCATGCTAAAGTCATAAGGCCCTTCCTTTCTGGAATTGTTAGTATTAATTAAGGTTGATGTCCCACTATACCTTTTTCTTCAGTTACCCAAGCATTGATATCCTCTTATTTAGGCTACTACAGTGTCATATATATACGATGCTCTTCTTAATTTTAATATCTTGCATTTTGAGGAAGAAAACACATCAAAGCATAGGCTTAAAGTTTAACTTCAGAGCATTTGGAAGTGCCCTACCACCACCACAAAAAAGCAGATATCCCAACTACTGCAACTATGTCCAAAACCATTAACTGCAGCTCCTATGCACCTTCTCTAAGTCAGGTGAGAACCCTATTTCCTGTATAGAAACATTGCAATTGGTAATGCAATAGGAGGGAATTGTTATTCAATACATAAGTATTAATATGAATTGTGTTTTAATTTATATTTAAACTTAAATTATGCTGCATTTAGTTCTTCCTTTGGCTTGGCCATGTTCATTTGGGAGGACACACCACCCAATGGCTAAGTGGGACCTTTGGCCCAAAAAGGAATGGTCAGCCTTGCTGGAAACCAACTTCTCCAATTGGGGCCAACCATATATATCAGTCATCTTGCTTCTAGAATTCCAGCTCTGGGGTACACTGGCAAGAAATCTGGGAGGAGATACCCTGACGTATCTGGACAGCAAGGGTTAAAGAAAGATGGCTGGTATTTTACCCAGAGGAAGGCAACCTGGTGCTTTCCAGATGTGGTTCACCTTGGTTTCTGCAATCTTTTGCCATGAGCCATGCAGGTAGGAATTATGGAAGTCTCAAACATCTGAAGGGCACCTGGTTGTTTATCCCTGCTTTATATAATAGTAAGAGAAAAAGTATACTGTATTTGGCTGGTGTATCCCACTATTGGGAGTGGTTCAACAGTAACTTCTACATTCAAGGGGCCCTTGAGGGGAAAAAATATCAGCCTCTGCTCTGAATTTCCTCCAAATCACAGCATTAAACCCCAAAGACCTTTCACATGGTTGGAAGGCAGTTTTTATGGCAAGTGGCTATATGTTGTTTATTCTTTTCTCTCCCTTTTAAAAGCAGAATTTGATCTCAAAATACCCTTGTGGCTACTGATATTTCAAGGTAAGGGAATTAACTGGAACCATTCCCATTTTCCAGATGTCATTTTTCCAAAATAAATAAGGGGTGAATTGTTATTCACAGCAGTATCCTGTAGTTTTGCAGAAAACTGGATTTTCTCCAATGATAAATGTGTATCCTTTTGAACAAAGGTATTGTGAAGGGCCTCCCTCTCCTTCTCTAAATCATATTTTTCCACTTCTGAGAACTGATAAAATACTTTAGCCCACCTGCCAATAATTAAAGAATCCAAAAGGACCCAAAGAACCACTGCCCTTCATTGTTTGTTTGTTTATTTCCCCATCTTTTCTGTATAACCAAAGAAGTATGGGAGCACACCAAAGGAAGAGATGCTATCCAGAGACAAGGATATTTTTTTTTTCAAACAGATGAACAACCAACTTGTGCAACTCCTTCATCTGAAACTGCAACAACCTAAAT